ATCTGTTTAGGATCAGTATGAGCAAAAGACTCAACTTTCCTATCTTTAACCTGTTGAGAACCAACCTCCTTGCGAGCATAAGACTCAGCTAGCCGAGGTCTATGTATAACCGCGGGATCATCAGCATTGGTGTTGCCTGGTATCATCAACTTTGAGCCTCTAAGAGGTGACTGGTGAACCTCCTCTTCCTTAACTAATTGAACCTGACTAAATACACCAGACCTTGCGTTAACGTCCAATGTCTTCAAAGGACAATGGTCCTTCTCTTATGTTAAGAACCCACATGTGACACAGTGCTTGAACAAGAGGTCATAAGCTATCTTAATTGTTACAGCATCGCCCTCTGAGTTTGTAGCCATCCTAGTGAATTTAAGAGGTTTTCGAGTATCTATTTCGATCAACATTCTCTCCTCCTCAAGCTCCAAAGTGTCGACATGTCCCAATGAATCCCCAAGACTTCTGAGGTTCTTAATAGTCCATAAGTGCAAAGGCACACTAGTTATAGTAACCCAAAAAGGTATAGTCCACGGGTAATCATCATGAACGATAGGCTCCCATCTCACTAGCACAAACATGTAAAAGTTATAGTGAAAGAGACCTTGGCGTAAGATTTCATTGAGATTCTTCTTAGTGATAAAATTTAAGAAAAATTTTCCATTTCCCAAGTCATTCGCGGTGATACTTATTAGTGACACCTAACCAAAAATGACATTTGAATTCAGATATAGTAGGATGTGGTTGGAATTTTTATAACCTATGTAAAAAAAAAGAAAAAAAAAAACTTTAGTTTCGTATTAATGACATAGTTTACAATATTGACCGCGTGATATCAGGCACTCTTAAAGACGCGTAAAACTCAGACAAATATTCACCCAAAAGCCAGAGAAGAAACCACTCCGACATGGAAAAGACGAAAACATCCTCATCTTCCGCAGTCGCGCCGCTTCTACAGCGATGCCAATTTAGTCAAAACCACATCTCACACACACCAAACCAATTCGCTGTCCAAATCCAAAACTCCTCCCTCTCCTCCTTCGCTGTACGCTACAATAATGCAGTCACCGAAACCACGGCGCAAAGCGGGACCCGCAACCCCCGGAGCGGACTCGGCGGAGAAGCTCGAAGAACTCCTAATATCCTCGGCGATCTGTAACGGCGAGGATTTAGGACCGTTTGTCCGCAAAACGTTCGCGACGGGGAAACCAGAGACTCTCCTCCACCATCTTAAGCTCTTCGCGAGATCCAAAGAATCAGAGATCGAAGAAGTCTGCAAAGCTCACTACCAAGACTTCATCAACGCCGTCGACGATCTCAAGTCTCTCCTCTCAGATGTCGAATCTCTCAAATCCTCTCTCTCGGATTCCAACTCTAAGCTCCAATCAATCGCCGCTCCTCTTCTATCGTCTCTCGATTCGCTCGTGGAGGCGCAGACCGTGTCGAAGAACGTCGATCTGGCGGTTAGAGCCGTTACGCACTGCGTTCGTGTGATGGAGATGGTCTCTCGAGCGAATCAGCATCTTCAGAGCGGGAGTTTCTACATGGCGTTGAAGTGTGTGGACTCGATCGAGAGCGAGTTCCTGGAGAAGACTCCGTCGTCGACGCTGAAGAGGATGCTGGAGAAGAGGATTCCAGAGATTCGAGGTTATGTGGAGAGGAAGGTGAGTAAGGAGTTAGGTGATTGGCTTGTGGAGATTCGTGTGGTGAGCAGGAATCTTGGTCAGTTAGCTATTGGTGAAGCTTCTGCTGCTAGGCAACGAGAGGAGGAGCTTCGGATGAAGCAGAAGGAAGCAGAGGAGCAGAGTAGACTCAGTCTACGCGACTGTGTCTACGCTCTCAAGGAAGAGGATGACGATGATGATGTGTATGAGTCTGGACTTGAAGGCAGTGAGGCCTTTGATTTGACTCCGCTCTATAGAGCTTTTCACATTCATCAGACACTCTCACTTGAAGATCCTTTCAAGCGTTATTACTTTGATAACAGGGAGCTTCAGCTTAAGTCTGACTCTCAGGTATCTTCCATGACTCCCTTTCTTGAGTCTCATCAGACGTTTTTCGCCCAGATTGCTGGTTTTTTTATAGTCGAGGATAGGGTTTTGAGGACAGGAGGAGGGTTGATTTCCAAGAATGAGGTTGAGTTTTTGTGGGATCTTGCTGTTGCTAATATGTGTGCTGTGTTGGAGGATCAGTTCTCTAGGATGCAGACGGCTAATCATCTCTTGTTGATTAAGGATTATGTGAGCTTGTTAGGGGTGAGTCTACGTAGGTATGGGTATACTGTTGATGCGCTTCTCCAAGTGTTGAGCAAGCATAGGGACAAGTATCACGAGCTTTTGTTGTCTGATTGTCGTAAACAGATGATAGAAGCTTTGGCTGCAGATAAGTTTGAGCAGATGTTGATGAAGAAAGAGTATGAATATTCCATGAACGTGCTCTCTTTTCAGTTACAAACATCGGATATTGCGCCGGCCTTTCCTTACATTGCTCCGTTTTCAACCACCGTGCCCGACTGTTGCCGGATTGTGCGGTCTTTTATCGAGGATTCAGTTAGTTTTATGTCTCATGGAGGTCAGCTTGATTTCTATGACGTCGTCAAGAAGTATCTGGATAGGCTTCTAGGGGAAGTTCTCGACCAGGCTCTGTTGAAGCTCATTAACACATCGGTTCATGGAGTTTCTCAGGCGATGCAGGTCGCAGCAAACATGGCTGTGTTTGAGCGTGCTTGTGATTTCTTCTTCCGTCACGCTGCACAGCTTTCAGGAGTTCCGTTGAGGATGGCCGAGAGAGGTAGAAGACATTTCCCATTAACCAAGTCCCAAAACGCTGCGGAAGATACACTCTCGGGGTTGCTTAAGAGTAAGATAGACGGGTTCATGACATTGATAGAGAATGTGAACTGGACAAGCGACGATGTTCCACAAGGTGGAAACGAGTACATGAACGAAGTAATAATCTACTTAGAGACTTTGGTCTCCACCGCGCAACAGATATTACCTGCTAAAGTCCTGAAAAGGGTTTTGCGCGACGTCCTTGCTCACATCTCTGAGAGAGTCGTTGGAACGTTATGTGGGGATGTAGTGAAAAGACTGAGCATGGCTGCAATCAAAGGAGTTGAAGTGGATATTCAGTTGCTGGAATCTTTTACAGATCAACTAAAGCCCTTGCTCACGGACAAGGAAGCAAAAGAGATGAAAACAGCTTTTGTTGAGATAAGACAGATGGTTAACTTGCTTCTGAGTAGTCACCCTGAGAATTTCGTGAACCCTGTGATCAGAGAAAGAAGCTACAACGCTTTGGATTACAGGAAAGTTGCGGCGGTCTCTGAGAAACTCAGAGATCCATCAGATAGTATCTTCGGGACATTTGGAACAAGAGGGTCGAGGCAAAACCCAAAGAACAAATCGTTGGACACGTTAATAAAGAGATTGAAGGATGTGAGCTGATGATGATGAGCACAAAACACACGATGCGTAAGTATATATGATTGTTTCTCTCCTTTATTTGTCTTTTACCGTATTTGTTTGTTAATTATATTATTTGCGTTATACTATTTTCATTGTTGGTGATTCGTTGATCTCTGAGTTGAAGGCTAATAAACACAAAACTGTTTTCACCCCAAGATTTGTATCATTTTCCATTAATAGCAACTTTTGAAACATGAGTTTTGGAGTATATTTTAATCATTTTTCCACAAAATTATGTCGATGGTAAAAATGATCTGAGAACCGACATAGGGGAATACATGTCTCATGAGTTCTCGTGCTGCTGTAACAAGCAAGAGATTCAAACAACTAACCACTTCCTACACTCTTCAACATAACATTATTGTAGAAAGGAGGAACCACACGTCATGAACATGGTCATGCCCTGATGCCGCCCCATGCTCTCAATCACAAAAGGTACTAAAAAAAAGTTTGGCACAGACAGTATACATAAAAAATACTAAAAAAAGTTTGGTACAGACAGTATACATAAAAAAGTAAAAAAAGGAAGAGAAATTAATTTGTATAGGTAATCTTATACTATAAAGAAGAAGGCAACTAACTCTCTTTTTCTCAATACACGTCATTTTATGACATCACTAATTTAGTTCACCAGTATTTGACACGTGTACTCTAAAACTCACTGTTCCATTTAAGTGACAATTGTTGGGCTTTGCTATTTGTTTTGGGCTTCTGTTTTGATGAAGAGACCCAACCAAAGCCAACCCTAATTATCTTTTACGGGAAGAATATAACTTTAGGGTTCATCTCCACTCTTTTTTTATCGCATTGGAGAGCATTTGCTGAAGTCGATGTGATGAATCTGTTCATCGTCTTCGTCGGGTTTCGATTGCGTCGTCTGATCTTCTTTGCCATAAATAAAAACGCTTCCATCAACCACAATCTGGTGTTGAATGTGAGTGTGTCTTCTGCGAGGCGGCGTCACTACAACTATAAAAAAGTATGTCTTTTTCCTCACAAAATCATCTCTCGATCTGTTGAACCAACAAAGTAAACTTTTTTTTCTGACAAATGGTCATCTCGAAAGGTTTTCTTTCTGATTTGATTTTTTGACAAAGAAATCCCCACCGCGCCTACGCTATGGTAGCTCCGAGGCTTTAAAAACAAACCCAAACTTTTTCTTTTCTCTTTATTTATTTATTTATTTATTTACATAACGTGATCTTAATTAGTATTTGTGATATTATTCATATGATATGATGTTTGCTTCTTCTGATTGTTAAGTTCCTCTGCCTTTTAATCTGACAAGGCTCAAACAAATGCAGATGATGATTTAAAGTAAAAGTCTATACAAGTTGAGTTTAGGTCTGTGAATGGTGTTGGCCATAAGCAAGGGAGTTTTGGTAGCAGATTATGTATTACAATCGAGAATTTTCAACATATAAAAGGATTACAAATGCTCTGTTTCGGAGAAGGTATGAAGCTACATATGAAGGGAAATTCATTGATGGTACAATGCTAAGATAAAGGCTGCTTAGTATATTGAAATGAGAGACTATAATGGGGACATGTAAACCTTATATGTCATACCATTGAGTCATTCTCATATGTAAGATTTTTGCTTGAGTCGATTTTAGTTTGCAACAATGTTTTAGTTTTAAAAAATAGTTTATTGTATGATAATCTTAAGCAATCTGCAGGATATCACTGAAGAAAACAAATCTTACGGCCATACTGGGGAGAAGAGCATTGTCTTTAAGCCAATATACTTTCTTTCTGGATCTTCTGGAGATTCCTTTAAGAAGAAAAAGGATAGAGTTCTTTTGGTTCGATGGAAAATTAGCTCAAAAGTCCAGAGAGAAGGTGTTAAAGGATTCAATGAAACCATCACACAATAGTAACTTAATGAATACGTTTCTGACAAAAACTATGTGAATCGAGCATAAAGCTAAATATCTTTATGATTATATGATGTAACAGGTTTTGTTTATATCTCTGAAAAATGGAGTCGAACTGAATCTAACCGCATCTTCACATGTCTATGTAACGGTACCATTTCTCTTCAATCTTACCTTTAAATCCTTCTTGATTAAGAAAGAGTTGATGACTGCTCTGTTTCTTGAAATGCTTATGATCATCAGTGGAAGAGCAATCAATCATATGAGATGGCATGTGGAAGAAGCTTCATTATTAAAGTAATCTATGCCTCAAGTAACATTGAACCATCCAAACTGTGTTTTTTTATCAAATTCGTTTTACTAAATCGGGTTATGGTTTTGTTGAAATATCTTGAAGCACATGAATGCATTGGATTGCTTGGTGTGTTAACAATTTTACTGACTAAGAAACCAGAGGAGAAGAAGGTGGTCAGTAAGGTGAAAGGTCTAAATCCATTAATGTATGTAGAATAGGAGGAAGTTTAAATTCCTGCAACCAAGTCTCCACCCATTAAATGTTGTTTTTTAAAGACAAAACTATCAATTTTTATGTTGTTTTTTTTGCTTTTATTATTTGATCCCAATAGCCTAAAAACTTCTGATGTTATGGATGAAGTCTTTTCTTTTGTATCTCTCATTCACGAGAAATAAAAAGTTTCAAATGTCTTCTTGATTTTGCATTTATGTTACAGATTAAGACAAAAGGATTTTTTTTGGCATGTACAAACAAATGTTACTTTAATGTTAGTTTCGACTGGATTAGTGTTTAGTATGGTTTGAGATGTCAAATTGATCTCTACCTCTTGCAAGTGGTGCAGCTGAGAAGTTTTCGCAATTTGCAAGCATAAAAGTATTCAAACATGCTATTGAAATTTGTGGCCAACACGATGGATTTACTCTTGGTTTGCAATAGCTGTTACGATTCTCGATATTGTTTGCAAAGGAAAAGATATTGTTTGCAAAGGGAACGGTGGTACATGATCCAGCGTGCTATCGGTGGTCACTGGTCACAAGCAACAATAGCCACAGTTGTTGCATCATGGTTTTACATGTTTTCATGTAGGTTAATATTACTTTAAATTAAACCATTGAAAAATGGTTTTATGGTGTCGTAAGAAAATCTATTTTTCATTCATTGAAACTTTTGAATATTTGTAAACAAAAATAAAATTAAGGTTTAATAAAGTATCAACCGAGTTTCATGTAATGTTGTTAAAAAACTAAAGTTCACGTAAGAAAATGTATGGATATCTATATCTTGAAAATCTATAAGAAAAAACCATAAAACTTTTAAAGATTCCTCCAAGAAAAAAAAATAATGTCTAGATAAACTAAGGTTCACGTAACAAAATATATGGATGTCTATATCTAGAAAATCTATAAAAACAACTATAAATTGTTTATTTTAATGTTTTAAAATCTAAAATTCCGTAATTTATGTTTTAAGATAATATATTATAGCTACATTGAAAAGGTAAATTGTGAATGATGTCGCTGTGATTATAATTTTAGAACTATTAAGGGAAAATTCCTTAAAAATACACCAACTGAGTTTCTTTTGCTAAAAAAATACATCAACTTTTTAGACTTCCCGAAAAATACACAGAGTAATTTTGGTTGTCTACAAAATACATGAACTTTTGAATTTTGAAGGTTTCACACCTCGATTTTAACGGCGTTAACTCAGACTAACAGAACATTTAGACACCGTTAGACGCTGTTAGACGACGTTAACTCTGATTCAAAAGTTCATGTATTTTTGTGGACAACCAAAATTAGTCTGTGTATTTTTCGGGAAACCAAAAAAGTTCGTGTATTTTTTCAGCAAAGAAAATTTAGTATGTGTATTTTTAAGGAATTTTCAAAAATATACTAAGGTGGCAAAGACATTGATTTTTTTTGTTTGACTGAAAATGTAATTTTTGAATATATTTTGTTCATATTGAGGCCGGTTTTTCTAGGGTCAGTTTAGATCTATATTTAAAATACGTGTAAAATACCAGTAATTTTTGGATATGTATCATGTAATAGAGAATGTGTTTTTGTTTGGGTCTTTGGGTTGGGTTTGGGTCGGTTCTTTTCGGATCTAAGAACCGGCCCAAACTCGACTCAGAAAACTGAACAAAAACACATTCTCTTCCACATGATACAGATCCAAAAATTACCAGTATTTTCCACGTACTTTAATTATAGATCCGAACTGATCCTAAAAAGACCAGCCTCAATATGAACAAAATGAAGAAAATATAAAGAAGCCAAAAAAACACATTGTTCATATTAATACTCATGTATTTTAATATATTTTGAACAATGTGTGTATTAATCTGTGTTCTAAAACGCGGGTGCCTAACCGATTAATCGCCCGACTAGGCGCTCGGCGGCAAGGCAACGCCGCGATTAAGCCCAATTCGCCTTGGTTAATCGGATAGCCGACTACTCGGCCCAATTAGGCGATTAATCGGTTTTAGAGCCGATTTTATCCCGCCTAATTTTGATTAACTTCAACTATTGTGACTAATATGGGCTTTGTTATTTAAGCCCAATTGTAATTTATGATTCAACTATCTAGTGATATTTATAGAAGTCTCCCACCCTTCTCATCACTAGAGATTACCGATGTGGGATCTTCTAATTTGTGTGTCTAAAATATTTTCGCGTAAAAATTAATAAATTTAACATGCATTGTCTGGTCATTGAACCGCTGACCTCTTAACTACCATATTTCATCACCCGCCACTACCCCACAATACCTTGTGATGTTTATTTATGTATTTTAATGTTCATATCAGATTTTATTTATATATTTATAATTAAAAATATTAAAAACTAATCCCCGATTATACCCCGATTAATCCCCGATTTTTCATTAACTCGCTAGGCATTAACCGGCCGCCCGACTAGCGCCTAGCGTATTTTCGAACACTGGTATTAATATGAATAATGTGTTTTTTTAGCTTCTTTATATTTTGTTCATTTTGTTCATATTGAGACCAGTTTTTCTAGGATCAGTTCGGATCTATAATTAAAATACGTGGAAAATACTGGTAATTTTTGGATATGTATCATGTGGAAGAGAATGTGTTTTTGTTCAGGTCTTTAGGTCAGGTTTGGGCACATTTTTCAGTCAAACAAAAAAAAATCAATGTCTTTTCCACCTTAGTATATTTTTGAAAATTCCTTAAAAATACACATACTAAATTTTCTTTGCTGAAAAAATACACGAACTTTTTTGGTTTCCCAAAAAATACACATACTAATTTTGGTTGTCCACAAAATACATGAACTTTTGAATTAGAGTTAACGTCGTCTAAATGTTCTGTTAATGAGAGTTCACGCCGTTAAAACCGAGGTGTGAAACCTTCAAAATTCAAAAGTTCATGTATTTTGTGGACAACCAAAATTACTCTGTGTATTTTTCGGGAAGTCTAAAAAGTTGGTGTATTTTTTTAGCAAAAGAAACTCAGTTGGTGTATTTTTAAGGAATTTTCCCAACTATTAATTGTATTACATATATTTTTAGACAAAAACTTAGTTCAGAGGTGGAAATATCATAGTAAAGTAGCTAATATCATAGTAAAGTAGCTAAGTCTATATGTTCTGCAAAGGATCGTTGTTTAGGATTCTCTTTAGCACACAACTAAAATTTAATCCGTGTGTTTTTATTTGCTTTTTACTTCACTTGTAACATAGAAAATTTAAAATATCTCAAAACCGTTTAATTCAAATCGATAACTCACTCAGTGTATGAAACTAAATAAGAAATCTTTATTTAATTTCTACAAGAATTAATAGTAAGGAAATAATCATTTTGATATCGAATATGAGATCAATTTTTTTAAAGAAAACAACATGAAAAACATTTGAAATCCTCAAAACATTTCAATGTCAAACTATTTAATATAGAAACAAATATTGTAACACAAGAAAAATCTTATCATTTGTAATCTCTCTTCACCTAAAGTTTTCTAAAAGATAAAAAATTTATCATACAAATCTATTGCAAATACAAAACCTAAAATACAAACCAAAAAATTACACAAAAAGTAGTAATCTAGATTACAAATAAAGTATATCCTGTCCGTAGAGCGGATCCCTAGTTTATACATACTAGGTGATTTTCCCGTGCTCATGCACGGGCATAAATATTTAAGAAATAAATATATTATAATAGTGGATTGATATTTACTTTAAATTTTATATTAATTTATAGCTTGCATGTATAATTTGTATTAATAATATTATATTATTTTGTTCTTATAATTTTAGATATATTATATTTAGTCAGTTTTATCATTTGGATATATATAAATATATATATATATATATTTATATATATATATATATATATATTTATATATATATATATATATTTCTATGAATTCAACTATAATATTTTTTATTCTTAATATCTTAAATTTTTGATTAATTATTTTATTTATATTTATGTTGGTTGTTATCTACGAAATATAAGTATATCTTAGTAAGATTATGTATTTTAAGATTTTTTGTGTTTAGAACGAAAAAAATAAAAACTAAAGTATCTGATTCTAAATTATATAAGTAATAATAAATTTTTGAAAGCTTACGAACACATATCAATATTTATAATAATTAAAATATTATATAAATTCTAAATAATTTATGCCATAGATTGATTGGATGATAAACTGAAATTTATTTTAAATAATTTTAAAAATAAGGAATTCTGATTTGTCTTAAGTATTTTGATTATGGTTATATTAAATTCCACAAACATAAAAACAAACATCAAAAGAGTTATTAAGAAAACAGATAATTTTAACTATTAAAATATAATATATCTACCTTGTTAAATTATAGTGTTATGATATTTTAGAAGAATTGTAGTTATTTGATCAAAAGATGTTTATTATTAAATTTATTTTTATTTTTGTTTTTAACATCTATTAATATATGCAGTAAAAATGTGATTGTTTTGAGAAATTATATTATATAAGTAAAATATAATTTATTTTTTTTGCTGTAATTGTAAGATATTATAATCAAATAAATATACTAAAAAAATATTTCAATAATACTAATTATAATTTTTTTGTCAATTAAACATATATCAGTTTAGGTTACTTAATTATTTTATGTAATCATCTAATAAAATAGATAGATATATCAAAAAATAATTAATTTGAAAATATATATTTTATTGTTTAAAATATTTTTTTAAAGAAACAATATTTCTTTTCTAATATCAAGATTATTTGTATGAATTTTTTTAATGAAAACACATTATATACAAATATTTTTTTCATCTAAGAAGATATAGATATAAAATACTTTATTACTTAAAAGTATAATTTATGTTATTTAAAAATATATTTAAGTTAAATATTACTATTTTGTAAACTTTCTTTTTTATGAAACCATATTATATATATACTTATTTTTTCGTTTAAATAGTTTTGTAAATTTTATAAATATTTCCTTTTTATTTTATATTGTTATTTGGAAGATTTTAAAAAGGAAATAATAATATTTAAATATATTTTTATTTCATTAGGGGTATCATAGTAATCAATCAATGTGAGAGTTAACGTGAGCGCTACACGTAAGAAAGTGACTTCTCAAATAATATTATAGAGATTTTATTGATTAATCATGTGCAAGTTCTTTTTGTCTTTTTAGTAACCAACGTCTTATTGCAAATTATTTATACTTAAATCAAGTAGATATACCTTACCAAAAATAATTAGACTCATCATTAAAACCAAACAGCCTGTTACTCACGTGTCCAGTTGTCTTCTCTCAATACTTAAAATCGTATTCCTTCTTTCAACCACCGATACAAAAAGTTCTCCGACAGCAATACGAAATCGAAAGGCGGAGCAATTAAACCATGTCTCTTCTCCCTATTCTCATCGCTGCTTGTTCCTTCCTCTACCATCTACCTTCTCCACTCGCCGTCGCCGCTGAAACAGATCCGCCGACGGCTTATTCTCTCCTCCAGAGCTACAACTTCCCTGTCGGAATCCTTCCAAAAGGGGTTGTTGCTTATGATTTAGACACATCAACAGGCAAATTCCACGCGTATTTCAAAGACTCCTGCAGCTTCTCGCTCGTGGGTTCTTACCAGCTGAACTACAAATCGACGATCAGCGGTTACATCTCCGAGAACAAGCTCACGAAGCTGACTGGTATCAAGGTGAAAGTTTTGTTCTTGTGGCTCAACATCGTTGAGGTCATCAGGAACGGAGATGAGATGGAGTTTTCCGTTGGGATCACGTCGGCGAATTTCGGGATCAAGGAGTTCTTGGACTCGCCTCAGTGTGGGTGTGGCTTTGACTGCAAAAAATCGATTAAAGAGACGTTTGACACAAATTTCCCTCTTGTTTCTTCGTCTTAAAAGGTACTTTTAATGAAAATATCGTGTCTTTATGTTTCACTCTCTTGTCCAATAAGATGATGATCCTAGTTTCTGAATTTGTATATCTTCTTGCCATTGGTTGAGGAATCACAACATATTTATACATATTGGATGAATTTCACTCTCTTTTGTCTAAATTTTGAAGTATTATTCATATGCCCCTGGATGAGGTTTACCCTCTCTTTGTTTTGTGTTTCTTCTTTGCTGATTTGGTAGTTAGATTAGGATCCGTCAAGTTACTTTGATTGTTTAAATCGATCTGGTGGGAAGATAGTTTGCTTGTAGGTATTTGTGATGGATATTGAAGATTGTTTTGGTGGGTAACTGGTTGGGGGTGGGTGAATCTGGAGGACATGGTTCTTCAGAGACCTACATTGGTTTCTTTACTACATCACACCATTATGTTGACAATTAATGACTAAATAGATTCATTACCACGGAGTTAATTGTATCACTGCATTGCCGTTTATTTGAGGTTCGAGATTCTTTTACATGGTCTAACAGTATGGAATATGTTGAAAGTACTCTGTCCCCAAAACCGGGGAAATTTAGACAGGGGATTATATGTTGTTATAGCCCTAGTGTTTTGTACTAAAGACTAAATTTACTGTTGAGTCATATTACACAGTTCAAATCAGAGAATGTGTGCGGGTTGTAGACGACAAAAAAAAGTTTCAGAAAATATTGGTACATAACTCTTAGACAATTCGGAAAAAAATCTCACTCTTTTGTCTAAGGATTAAAAGATGATTTTTAATGAAGTTGTTGATGATTTCAATGAATTGAAGAGTTTAAAGCGATCTTCTTATTATATAAAAAAAAAGAGTTTCTTTTTTTCTCTTCAAGTTACTTATCAATCAGGTGTGTATAAACTTGAAACATAAGCATATTATTTTAAATATTAATGAATAGTTCTAAAATTTTCAAAATTTTATTATTTAACTAAATATATTAATACAATATTAAATAATCCATAAATATTTAAAATGAAAGTTAGTTGAAGAAAAAATCAATTGTAGTTTTCTCAATTATAAATAATTATTTTAACATAATTTAACAGATATAAAACTTATCATTTCGATTGTACAAATATACTTACAATTTTAAGATTACCAAGAATTTATATTATTTCGTTAATCAATATCATTATCTACATTTACATATATGTTATTTTAGTATTTATTTTAATAAATATAAATTGGTTGTAAATAATATTAACATTTATAAATAATTTGTAATTTTAAAACATGTTAATTAACTGAAAAGAACAAGAACAGTCATATATAATTTCTAATTTACATACATGTAATTAAACTAAAATTAAATAAATAGTCATTATCATTTTGTATCATAAACAAAACAAGACAGAATTTATTAAGAATAAGAATTAACAAATCAGTTATAATTATGGTTAGTTTTAAATTTTCTATTTTTAATGATACGTTTAACATTATATATAAGTAAATAGTTTTAAGTACTATTAAATAAATAAAATTATTAAAATTTTGTGATAATATATACAAATTTGTTATATATTACCAATAGATTCTCTTCAATAATTTCGCATAACATGATTTACTTGCACATTAATTATAATAATATATGCAAAATTAAAAAAAAACATATATCTTTATACATAGTAACGATTAGTATTAGATTTTCAAGTTGCATTAGGTGTTTTTCTGCACCATGTAGAAGAATAAGAGTTTTCAAAATTAAATTATATTTAAAAGTAAAATTTCATTTTACATTTTTAATTTTATGTTAACTACATATAAAAAATAAGATAAAATAAATAACTTTTATTTAAATTTATATTTAATAATATATATATATGTATATATTTATATTCGAGCAGCAAATTTTCTCAATATACCAAAAGAAACTCAATATTAGGGATATGCCATGGTTTTAGGGGAAAAAAATAGTGAGAGGAGGGAAGAGAGATAAGAGAGATAGAAGATATATAGTTAATTTAGGGGTTTAGTTTGTATATGGGATGCAAATTCTCTTTATACTCTTGGGAAGAATTTTTTATATTTTTATTTTGGTTAAAATATGTTAAATTAGATTCTATACAATTAAGAGAAAGGTATATAGTTATCAAAATATAAAACTGAATAACATTTCTAAAAAAATTAGATGTTATAAACTAACGATATTGGGATTAAAAATTACAATTTTTTTGAAACCCACATAAAAGTTTAGAGGAATTTTTATTAATAAAAGTTATATAATTATAAAAAATATACCTAAAAAAATATATCAAAAGTTGTTAATATTATTATATTTATAATATTATATTATTTATTATTATGATAATGATGATTTATGAATTACTATCATATTTTAAAAACTTACCGAAAATATAATTAACATTAAATGTAAATATCCATGTCACAATTAACTTCAAATCATGTTATCATTATTAGTGGACATATCATTATTTTTGATAAAATTGATTGTGGTGATGACCCATGTCAAAATCACTTCGTAAATGAATTACCTACCATTTTGTATTATGTAAGTAACGTGAACATAAGATCTAAGATTATTGTTTTCTAATAGCTATAAAAAATAAAAATGTTTCTTGCGGACTTAAAAAATTTAACTATACTTTTAATACTGCTACGGAAAATAAATTGTATATATGAAAAGACTAACAAAGCGTTATAAACTAAATTGACACGAAACAAAGAAAAGAATAAATGAAACTAGATGATTTTACAAAACAAACCATTTAGGAAAATATACAAGAACATAAATAAAATAGACGTAAACTCATTCAAACAATTGTAATAATTATATTAGAAAATTTAGTCAATCTAACGAAATTGAGGTTAAATTTTCTCACAACAAATAAATAAATGTATCAGAAAATAATGATAAAAATATTAAAAAGATAGACCATACTTTTAAACCTATCAGGTATATACAAATCCTAAACGGATCTTGCCTCAATCCTTTTAGTTTCTTTGCTTTCTTGAAAGTTAGTTCGTGTTAACTTACACCACTTTTCTTGATACAAAAGTATTATTTTGACAAATAGAGTACATGTCAAGCATATCTAAGACAGATGAGATAGATGAACAACTGCAAACATAGAATCATATGGATCATGTTCTTGAATCACACAGATGTTTGACCAGAGCCAGAGGTGTGATGTACTTCAGCAACGTCTTCATCAACAAATCGCAGTAGAATCCGGATATAAGTATCCATCGGCCACCGACAAAGACGAAGGCTTGGAATATATGGGCCAACATAAGGGGCAAGGAGGCGAGTAAACACACAAGTAAATAAGGAATGTACAACGTTAATGACGGTTGTAAGAAGATAACTGTGACTTGTTGTAGCAAGTACACCAAAATAGAATGCGAAAGACATGGAGTATAAAGCCAATGATAGGGATGGCAAGGCCGTCCTGAAAGCTCTATGAACGAGATCTGGATCTCCCATCTGAGCCCATATAAGAGCAACTATTGCTACAAGTGAGCTATGCATTGCCACAATGTCAGCTACCACAAAAAAAATGAAGTTGTAGTCATTAGCCAAAATGGCCAACCCCAAGTTTGGAGGAGAGCTGTTGAAGCCTCCGGGTACAGTAAGACCTGCAGCAAACGTTACAGTGGCTACAAGAGCTGCCACCAGTAGAAGTGCGTTGACACGATCTTTGTACTTGTTAGCATCTAAATTCTCTGATCTGCTTCTTAATGTCATCCCACTTGTGGGTATCTTCTCACATCCTCTTGGTTTGTAAACGGATAACAATACCATCAGAGTCATTCTCTGACATTTCAAGAAAGATAAAATGGATGAGAAAAATACATATGTGGTGGTTTAATATTTAAACAAAACAGTTGTACAGATCAGATTATACCTCCCGAAAGATGTAGTCGGATTGTAGATTTAACTCTGCAATATCAAGTGGTCGAAACCCTTCTTTGTTCTTTATATTTAGGATTTTAGTGTTGTTTGAAGAAAACTTAGTAAGGTCTCTAACATTTCGAGGACGCCAGTTTATGGTGGCTAGATGAAGAGGTGTATTCCCATCCTCATCTTGCTCCTCAGCCAGATGATTCTTCTTTCTATCGAGTGCCTTGATATGCCTTAAAAGCAAAGATCTGGATTTCCCACTCTTTGCTGCAACGTGAAGAATGTTCTGACCTTGTTTGTTAAGCAGCTCTTTGGAATCTGGACAACGTTTGAGAATCTCTTTTACAACATCGACATGACCTCTCTCTACTGCAATGTGGATTGGAAAGGAACCATCACTGTTGCATTCAAAGACACTTGTAGTTGATCGGTCTAACAGATAGCATACTCCTTTAGAATACCCTATGTATGCTCCAAATGAAAGACAAGTCTGTCCTTCTTCATCTTTTTCGTTGACAAGACTTGGCTCTTCATTAAGAATAGCATCAATGATATCTACTCAAACAAAATGGTAAATTCAGTTAGCTTCTTGATATAAGGAACATGAAGGCAATTAAAATTAGGGGAACCAAACCTCTATTCTTTGCAGTTAAAGCTGCATGTACAAGCGATTTTTTCCCTTGCAAATTTGAGGCTAAGTTAGAACTTTGGCCCTGCACATTATGACCAAGACCGTTCAGCATTGCTTTCACTAAGGCTAGATTTCCAGCTTCTACAGCCATATACAAGGGAGATATTCCATTGTTATTCTCAAGAAATGAGCCATGATTACTCGCATTTACAAGATAGAGAGCTGTCTCCAGATGACGCCCCTTTAATGCAGAGTGCAGAGGAGTATCTCCATCTATGTCCTTAAGTACATATACATTAAACCTCTCCCTCTCTTCTGCAGACAATATTTTAGCTGAGAAATGTGTTATCGACGCAACGAGAATCTTCATAACAGCTAAAAAACCAGCATGAGCAGCAGCATGGAGCGGAATCTGATCCTTCCAGTTAGGTTCCAAGAGAAGAGATGGCCATTCAGATATTATCCTCCCCACTAGCCCATGATGACCCAAGGCAGCAGCTAGGTGGAGAATGGAATCTCCTTTATCATTCTTGAGACATGCCACTGGTGTTTGGCGGCTTCTCATCTTCTCAAGAAAATCTATGTTCCCTGCTCTCATTGCACTAAATATCTCTGGATTCATAGGAACAGATTCACCAGGGAGGTTGAAAAGATCGGACAATCTGAGATTGTGAAGGAACTCAGGTAACAAATCTGTATGCGGTAAGAAGCAGTCTATGACTAGACTCATGGGGGAGCATCTTGGTCTCTGTTGCTCAACAAACACACTCATTGATGTTCTTTTCTCTTTGATTGTTTCAGTACCTTCTCAAGAACAATCAATGTAAGTTGTTGTGCAAACAGTTAGGGAAAAAAAAACAGTTTTAGTTTTCTTTGCTTAAAAAGGCAGATCACAAAAAGTTTTATCATATTGACTTGACTAATTGGAATGAAAGGCACATAAGTTGTGAATACCACAAGTTTCAGATGACCACAAAGACAAACATCATACGTGTAGATTATAAAAAGAATCAAATACTCATTTGACAAACTAGTTCAAGTATGAATTCATGACTTTTGACTTCACAAGCTCAATAAACGAACATGTCCCTCACCAGTTAGAGAGATGTTAAGAAAAGTTGTTCCACTGATTCAATTACATCGGTTTGACATTCCCACAGATCTCAGGAACGTTAACAATCAATGCATATAGCTTCTGTAGCAAAGGTTTCAGACGAATGGAGAAACAGCTCTTGATACAAGAACATTATTTTGTGACTATAAACAATGATTAAGGAACTGTAACAATTAGACACATATATCACACACGATATCTTTGTAAGATACTTTCAACGCCATGAAGATCACATAGTCTCTCCTTCACAAACTTATATGTCAAAAGTCAACATCTTGTCTTTATTCCTACAATGTCCTCGACCGACATCAATAAGATTTGCAACGTAGTGACCATGAAGAGAGAGGCCTTGATTAAATATGTTCAGAAAAGGACAAATAATGGATAACAAAAGTCATGTCTTGACGAATTAAAAGATGTACACTAGTAAATTTTAAGAAATATCGGGTCATGTCACTTACTGTAGGAGTAACCTTTGGATGAATCAAATGCTAGAATAGACCAAAGGGGAATAAAAAAAAACTCAAATAGACCCATGTTTTTTTTTTGTTTACATTTAATTTTAAATAGAAATCTTGCTAAAATAACTAAAAACCCTAAAGACTTCAATATATTTACGAATCCATACCCTTACTATCCTACCCAGAATCCGACACAGATTCAGATCCGAAATCCGACCCAACTAATCCTTAATCTTCTTCTTCCTCCTCCTTTCTTCTCTTCCAATAGTTTTTTTCACTTTCAAACAAAATCAAAAAATTTCTTCAATCATCCACCAATTTTTTTATCTTTATCCCAAATTGAACTACTCATATTCATATTTAATCAATTATATCTTACCCAGAATCAAATTTCATCATTTACGTACTAGAATAAAAAAAAAATAACGCAGAGTATTACTAGTACAACTGGTACAACTCTAATTAGTACAACTAGTACAACTACAACGAGTATAACTAGTACAAATAGATTGAGTATAACTAGTACTAATATAACTTTGCAATTAATATAGTGATCTTTATTTTGTTTTCAATGTATGAAGATAATAGAAAAGAGTATGATGTAAAACTAATAAAACATGTTAGTCTAATCTTCCCTCTCATGCATGTGTCAAATACATGAAGTGTATGTTTTTAATAATATTTGTTTTGCATTAATGATTTGTTACAAGTTGTACTAGTTATACTAGTTGTACTATTTTCGAAAAAATTGATACAAAATTAGAAAAGTCCTTAACCATAGTTATAAAGAAACGAGTCAACGGAAAGAAGAATAAGAAGAGAGCATCAGTAACTACTAAGCTCTCCCTTCCTGCCAAATTAATAGCTTTTGGAGTTACTTTTGAAAACTTAAGTTCTTTATATAATTTTATGTTCATTTTGGTATTTAAACATATGTTTCTTTTGAAGTTAGACTTCTTTTTATAGCTTTTGAAACTATCAATTGGTATATTTGATTGTTTTCTCATATGGAATACCGAATTGGTTTGTCGATTTCTAAAATGTTAAAGTTATATTAATTTTACCAGTAATACTCTTGTAATATATAATAAAAAATAATATCAATTCTTTATATGTCTAGTTTTAGGGGTTACCAATACTTTTACATCATAATCTTTAAAAAATATGTTGACGATAACGAAGAACATAGAATACTACTAGTACAACTAGCATAACTCAAACGAGTATAACTGATACAATTAGAGCGCGTATAACTAGCATAACTAGTACCACTAGAATACTTATAATTAGTACGACCGATACAACTATAACACATATAATTAATATAACTGATATAATTAGAACGTGTATAATAAATACAACTTTTCAACTTTATTCATACAACTTATAAGCATATCCATTTTATGCTAAATCTATGTTTTATTAATGATCATTTAAGATTTGTAATGTGATCAGTTGTCTTGCTATCTTTGAATGTAATCTTTTTGGACTAACTCATTATACTATACTTAATATTTGAGACTTGTTGGAGGCTTTTTGGATATTTTTATATTATTTGATCTAAATAGTTATTTTTTTTGACTAGTTATACTACTAGTACTAATTGTACTGTTTTTAAAATCATCTTTAATCTCGAAGTCGAAGAAGACATTAATTGTACTAATTGTATTGTGTCATATAATTATACAGTTACCTTAGTGATACCACTTATTTATGTTTACATGATTTGCCTGGTTATTATGTTTTGTTGTAGATGATATAGGACATGAGTGATGCCATATCAGTTGAGGAATCAACTAAGGAGGATTGTAACCGCAAGAAAAAGCTTGAGAAGGATGCAGTTGAAAATAAGGGGCAGTTGGAAATGAGGAGGAGACAACTAGTAAAACTACTCATCTTAATATTCAACTATAATGATTAAAACATGATACACATTAAAACATGATGCACAATACAAAAAGAAATAACATAGTGGTACTAGTATTATAGTTGTACTAGTTTGTACATAATTGTACTAGTTTTTGAGTTATACTGATTTGTACATAGTTGTATTTCGGCAGTGAAATCAAAAAAACTAGTCGTTCCACATAAAATTTAAAATTACTTCAGTTGTACCACTTCTTTATGTGTACATGCATATGCCCTAATACAATGAAATCACCAGTTTTATTAAAATACATTTCATGTATGTTTTCCAAATGTTATGTGGACAAAGAAGTTGGATTATGTTTTCTAAAAATATAAGGTAGATTATGCAAACTTATATGATTGTGTTATAATTACAAAAAAAATAAAAATATAGCTAATCTAATTAACAAACCTTTAAATATAAGGTATGTAATGTATAACTAATGTAACAATATAATAGTTGTAAGAGTTTTTGAGTTGTATCGGTTTGTACATAGTTGTACTAGTTTTTGAGTTGTACCAGTTTGTAAATAGTTGTACTAGTTTTTGAGTTATACCGGTTTGTACGTAGTTGTACTTTGACAGTGAAATCAAAAAAACTAGTTGTACCACATGAAATTTAAACTTACCTCAGTTGTACCACCTTTTTATGTGTATATATGTCTTCGCCCAATACAATGAGATCATCGAGTTTGTTAAAATGCATTTCATATATGTTTTCCCAAAAATATGTGGACAAAGAAAAAAATCTGACTAAATACCATTTTGGATATTTGATAGTGTTCTCACATGGATACCAAATTGGTTTGCCAATTTTTGAAATGTCCAAGTTGTACCAGTTGTACCAACAATACTCGTCTAATACATAATAAAAATTTTAACAATTATATCAATTGTTCATATGTTTAATTTAGAAGTTGTACCAATATTTTCATAATAATATAGCTAATTTACTTAACAAACCTTAAATATATATATGTATATATAATGTAAAATTAAGAGTGTAACGTAATAATTCAACAAAAAAATTAAAAACTTCAAATAAATTAGATGAAATTTTGTCATCATATACCAATTATGATATATGTTTGTTTTTTTCATATGTAAAATATGATTATTAGTCGTTTCAATTATAGTAGTTGCATATTGTACATGAATTATAACATTTATATATCAGTTATACTAGTTATATCAATTTTTAACATGTTTAGTTATACAAGTTATACTAGTTGTACCAAGTTTTCTCTTATCATCCGACGGCTCAGATTACATTTCGCATTATCTGATCTAATGGTTCACATTCAACTTTCATTAATGGTAAAAGGGTAATTTCGAAACCCTTGGTCCATGATAGATTAGTTTTGGTTGTTGAGATTTTTTTTGAAGCCATTTGTCTCATTATAGATCTTGGTTGGATACATTTCTACGGACAAATGCTGATATCTCTAAAAAATCTCAGTTAGACTTCTCACTTATTTTATTTTATTTTATAGTTAAATTTAAATAGAAATCTTAGTGAAATAACTATCAAACCTAAAGACTTCAACTTATTTACTATCTTATGTCACTACTATCTTATCCAATATCCAACCCAGATTTAGATCCAAAAGGCCACTCAATCACTTTTTCTTCCTCTTTTCTTCTCCATTCTTTCACCATGAAATAAAATCAAAAAATATCTCCAACCATCCACTAATTTTTTTTTAATCTCAAATCGATCAACCCATGATCATATTTAATCAATTATATATATCTTATCTATAATCAAATTTCATATTTTACATAGAAAATTCAAAATAATGAAGAACGCAAAGTATTACTAGAACAACTAGTACAACTAAAACTAGTAAAACTAGTACAACTCAAACTAATACAACTAATATAACCCACTCTAGTAAAACTAGTATAATTTGTACAACTTGAATTAGTACAACTAGAACAACTAAAAGTAGTATAACTAGTATAAATAGATTAAGTATCCCTATACATTATTTGAGAAGTAATTTTCTTATGTCTCATCACTATATTCATTCCCACCAAAAAAACGATTACTTGACTTTGAGAAATTATGAAATGGCATCATTTAATTATGAGATGTATAATTTTATTTATTTATTGTTTTCAGCATATGAAGATGCTAAAAAGAGAATGATGTAGAACCAATAAGACATAGTGGTCTAATCTCTCCAGCCTGCATGTGTCAAATATATGAATAGTATATTTTAATTATATTTGTTTTAAAATTGATATGTTTACAAGTTGTACTAGTTATACTAGTTGTACGTTTTTTGAAAAAAAAATCATCTTCATATTTTTGGTCTTGAGGCCAAAAAGCAAGATGGAACCATAAATATTTTTAACCATTGGTCTAAAAATGCGAGTCACCAAAAAAAAGAAAAATATTTTTAATAATATTTTTTTTTAAATTGATATGTTCACTAGTTTTTCTAGTTATACTATAGTTGTACGATTTTCGGAAAAATAATCATCTTCATCTATTTAGTCTCGAGGCCAAAAAGCAAGATGAAGAGTCACAAAATTCTTTTAACCATTGCTTTAAAAACGCGAGTCACCGGAAAAAGAAATATTGTGTTGATGCAAATAATTTATATTTTTACATCAATTATTAAATGAGTTGATGTAAATTATTTGCATCACCACATTCAGAATCACTTTTTAAGTGATGTAAAAGAAATTTCATCATTTATAAATAATACAAAAAATGAAAATACACTATCATTTTTTTGTAGTGTTGTGATATTTGGTTTTTGTTTACCGCGTATTAATGATGCTATATAAGATGATAATGATGCAGAACCAATGAAAATGTTGGTATAATCAAATAAGAGAAACCTTAAAAATATAAGATACATTATGTAAATTGATAGGGTGGTGTGATAAGTGTAAAAAAAAAAATCTAAAACCTTAATAAAATTATAAATATATCACAAACGGCCTCGTAACATTGCCATTAACTTAAACTAACAATTTTAAAAGTTAAATTATGTTTTTCAAAAATAATGAGGTTAATCAAGTAAGCAAATAGTTAAAGAATAAGGTAGATTATGTAAACTTATAAGATGGTGTAATAATTTTCAAAAAAAAATTATATAAAAAGTATTTAGGAATGTTCAAACACAATCTTTAAAACATGATACACGTTTAAAACGAGATGCATAATAAAAAAATGAAATAACATAGTTGTACCGGTTTGTACATAGTTATACTAGTTTTTACATAGTTGTACTTTGGCAATGAAATTGAAAAGACTAGTTGTACCACATAAAAAATAAACTTACCTCAGTTGTACCAGTTCCTTATATGTACATGCCTTTTCCCTACTAAAGTCGAATAATTAATATGGTTAAAATGCATTCATTGTATGTTTTTAAAAATATAGTGGACAAACAAGTTAACAAACACTAAAAATATAAGGCATATAATGGTTGTTTATTTGTTTAGCCACATTATTTCTGGAAAGACACACATTGAGCATTTTTATACAAAATCTATGATAAATAATATTTGTGTAATAGTATGGACACGTAAATAAGTGGGAGAACTAATAAAATTCTATTTTTATATGGTACAACTAATATTTGAGTTATACCGCTTTGTATATAGTTATAAGAGTTTTTGAGTTGTACATAGTTGTACTAGTTTTTGAGTTGTACTGATTTGTACATAGTTGTACTTTTGCCGTGAGATAAAAAAAAACTAGTTGTACCACATAAAAGTTAAACTTACCTCAGTTGTACCACTTCTTTATATGTGCATGTCTTTGTCCCAATAAAATGAAATCATCAATTTTGTTAAATCACACTTTGTATGTTTTCCAAAAACTACGTGGACAAATAAGTTAACAAACCTTAAAAGTATAAAGTAGATCATGTAAACTTATGTGATTGTGTTATATTTTCCAAAAAAAAAAAAAAAATCATTACATATCAAAATAAATTTATCTAAAAACTTATCACTCTATCCAGCTGATTGTTTTTCTTTCATATGCAATATCTTATAGAATATTTAAATTTCAGAATTTAAATAGTTGTACCAGTTGTACTAGTATGTTCTTCATGGTATATATAACGTAGTTGTATTCAACATTTCAACACCATATCTAGGATTCAGAAACTCCACCGCCATAAAAGTGAGCACTAGCTTATCAAAATTCAAACATTAAACATATTCAAAATCTTCGACGTCAACATCTTCAGCACCCCTATATTCCTGCTCGACTTCGCCACGTCCTCCTCCACATCAACCATCAAAAGCACCATTTCCCCTTCAGATCCAGCCCCCACCTCTTCATCCTCAACTTCTCGAACTTACCCCTCAACACTTGGCATTAGTGTTTCACCAAAAAAATTTTAAACATGATACAGATTTAAAACCTGATCCACGTTTAAAACAATATTAAATAAAATAACAAGTAGTTGTACCAGTTTTCTAGTTGTACAGATTGTATATAGTTATTCTAGTTTTTGAGTTGTACAAATTTGTGCAATAGTTGTACTTTGGCACTGAAATAAAAAAATATTACTTTTACCACATAATATATATATATATATATACATTTACCTCAGTTGTACCACTGATTTAAGTTTACATGTATTTCCCAGTTACAATGAAATCATCAATTTTGTAAAACGATATTTTATGTATGTTTTCTAAAAATTATGTGAACAAACAAGTTAACAAACCTTAAAAGTATAAGATAAATTATGTAAACTATGGAGTTGTGTAATATTTTTTTTCAAAAAAAAAATTCAAAACTTTAACTAGATTAAAGAAACTTTCTGAGTACATACCAATTGGTAAATTAGGTTAAGGGATACCAATATTTTTCACAACATAGCTTTGTAAATATATGTCCAGTGTTTGTGTACCATAAATCATATATTTTGTAAAATATGCCTAATGAATGTTTTCAAAAATATTGTGGTAAAAAAAGTAAATACATACTAAAAGTCTAATGTAGATCTGATGTATATTAATTTTATAGGTTTTTAGCTATCAACTTTGATCATTTCAATGTTTAAATATTATATTTAGGTAATATTAGGAGTTGCATTTGTACATTTTTCATACACAGGGGTCTGATTGTATAATCAGAAGTTCTAAGACGAAATAGAGGGAAAACTATAACATTTAGAAGTTTGAGGCCACAAACAAAGATATTCAAAGTGCAGGGACCAATTC